CGGGAAGGGGCCCAGGGCAGGCCATGACGAGGCATTCACTCCTTCCCAGCCTGCCCGCCTCACCAGACCTGCCTGGCCTCCCCTCGGCCCTGATCAAAGCCTTCAGGCTCTCCAGGCCCTTGGGGGAGGCCGACTGGACCCAGAACCATCTGCTCCTGCCCCAGACTCCCACCATCTGTGCCCTCGCCAGCTTCCTTGGTCTTTCTTTGGGTCCTGACCCTGGGCCGAGGGCTCTGCACACAGAATCTACTCAAAATGCACCCCCTCCCCCCCACAGATGAGGAAACTGAGGCTCATGGAGGCTTCCTGACTGTCTACTGGCAGGCTGGGTCCCAGAGCCCAGTTGCTCTACCACTCAGTCCTGCCTTCCTTAGCATATATATATATATGCACCTGGCCTTGTGCATATATATATATATATATATATATATAATTGATTTTTTACAGGGAGGGAGAGGGATAGAGTTAGAAACATCGATGAGAGAGAAACATCGATCAGCTGCCTCCTGCACACCCCAATTGGGGATGTGCCCACAACCAAGGTACATGTCCTTGACCGGAATTGAACCTGGGACCCTTCAGTCCGCAGGCCGACGCTCTATGCACTGAGCCAAACCGGTTTTGGCGGCCTTGTGCTTCTTAATTCACTTACTAAAACTTTCCATGGCCACAGGGAAACTTGGGTTTGCAGGAGTGGGGCTGCAAGAAAAATGAAAAGGGAGGACCCCTGTGGATTTGCCAGGCCTGGATCCTCTGGAATAATGTCTCTTATGCGTAGGTGGGGCGGGCGGGGGGGGGGGGTTCCAGGTGCTCTGGGGAGAGGACAGGGCTGGGCGGGGCCTGAATCCTAGGCTTGCAGGGTCAGAGACCTTTCCAGCTCACCTGGACCCTGTGCTCAAGGCCTCAGCAGGCAGGTATGGGCCCAGGTGCAGTCCCTAGAGAGCAACCTTAGGTGTGCCTAGGCTGCCCCCTAGTGGCAGCATGAGGAAGCTCCCGAGGACTTTGAAACTCTTGGCTGGGGGGGGGACACACCTGTCCTCAATTCATTTCTCTCTTCTTCTGCCTCTGCTCCCTGAGCTTTTCCAAATGTGGAATCACTCATTCGCACATGTCTCGGGGTGTTTACTTCTGCTAGTCCCACCGCTAGGATGCCCTCCTCTCTCCCTACCCCTGTGCCCAAGGTCAGAATTAGCAAAGTCTTCCTCTGCTTTGCGGGGTTCATGTCTTATTCTAGGCCGGTGGGTAGAGCAGCCCATGCATGGTGTGAATGCCTGGAGCACAGATCAGTGTCTGGGCCCAGCACAGGGGCCACATACAGGGAATGGTCAAGAACTACTTATTCTGCCCTAGCTGGTTTGGCTCAATAGATAGAGCCTCCGCCTGTGGACTGAGCGGTTCCAGGTTCGATTCCAGCCAAGGGCACATGCCCAGGTTGCAGGCTCGATCCCCAGCAGGAGGCAGCCAAACAATGATTCTCTCCCTCTCCCTTCCTCTCTAAAATCAATAAAATGTATATTTTTAAAAACCTACTTGTTCCTGCCGAAACCGGTTTGGCTCAGTGGTAAAGCGTCGGTATGTGGACTCAGGGGTCCCGGGTTCGATTCCAGTCAAGGGCATGTGACTTGCTTGCGGGCACATCCCCGTGGGGGGTGTGCAAGAGGCAGCTGATCCATGTTTCTCTCTCACTGATGTTTCTGACTTTCTATCCCTTCCCCTTCCTTCCTGTAAAAAATCAATAAAATATATTTTTAAAAATTAAAAAAGAAAACATGAGGAGTGGATGAGGAGAAAAATAAAGCGGGTGGGGACTGAGTTGAGGGGTGGAGGTGCCACTGTCTAGCCTAGACCTGGACGGTCCTGCAGCTGCTGGGGAAAAAAGGAGAGTGATCTTGGCCGAGGGTCAGGGAAGGATGCAGAGTTAAAAAGTAATGGAATAGCCCTCACCGGTTTGGTTTAGTGGCAGAAGCGTCAGCCTGGGGACTGAAGGGTCCCAGGTTCGATTCCAGTCAAGGGCGTGTACATTGGTTGTGGGCACATCCCCAGTAGGAGGTGTGCAGGAGGCAGCTGGTCGATGTTTCTCTCTCATCAATGTTTACAGCTCTCTATTTCTCTCCCTTCCTCTCTGTAAAAAATCAATAAAATATATATTTTTTAAAAGTGTGTGGATTAAAGTTTCTATTCTCTAAACTGCTGTTGCTCTTCCAGGGTGTGGGAATCATATTTGTCTCCACCACTCAGCCCGGGGCACAAGATCTCCAGCCCAGAGCTCAGGAGGGCTGGGCTGTCCTCTCCGGCAGGAGCAGCTGTCTCGTCGCTCATCATCCTCAGGTTCCATTCTGGGTTGTGACCTCCCAGGGATCTGATCCTTTGAAACATATGAAAGCTGAGAAGAGATCCTTGCACACCCATGTTTGTAGCAGCACTATTCACAGTAGCCAAAAAAGTCAAAATAAACCAAGTGTCCACCGATGGATGATTGGACAAACATCACTTAGTACACCCATATGAAGGAATATTATTGAGTCTTAAAAAGATATGTAATTCTGGTTGGCCAGCACAGCTCAGTGGTTGAGTGTTGACCTATGAACCAGGATGTCATGGTTCGAGATCTGGTCAGGGCACATGCCCAGGTTGCGGGCTCAATCCCCAGCGTGCAGAAGGCAGCCAATCGATGATTCTCTCGCATCATTGATGTTTCTCTCTCACTCTCTCCCTTCTCTGAAATTAAAAAATATATTTAAAAATAAATAAAATACTATATGTGCTACAACTTTGGTGAAACTTGATGACATTATGCTATGTGAAATAAACCATGCATAAAAAGACAAATTTACTATGTCCAGTCCACTTACATGAGGTCCCTAGAGCAGTCAAATGCATAGAGATAGAAAACAGATGAGAAGTTATCAGGGGCCAAGGGGAGAGGGGAATGGATTGTTGTGGTATAATGGGTACAGAGTTTCAGCTCTACAAGATGAAAAGAATTCTGGAGATGGCTTGCACAACCATGTAAATTACTGAGTTGCACACAAAACCGGTTCAGATGGTAAATTTTATGTTATGCGTATTTTATCACAATTTTTTGTTAAAAAGTGTGAGCCAGCCGAAACTGGTGTGGTTCAGTGGATAGAGCGTCGGTCTTCGGACTGAAAGGTCCGGGTTTCGACTCCAGTGAAGGGGCATGTACATGTACCTTGATTGCGAGCACATCCCTGGTAGTGAGTGTGCAAGAGGCAGCTGGTCAAAGTTTCTCTCTCATCTATTTTTCTAGCTCTCCATCCCTCTCTTTTTCTCTCTGTAAAAAATCAATTTTATATATATATATAGATATAGATATAGATATATAGATATATAATTTATATATATAATTTACATATATATAAAGTGTGAGGTGGTTTGGGTTGCCTCCCTAGGCTTTTTGGGCCTACTTTTTCACTGGGGGAAAAAAAAAAGGGTGGTTGTAAACCTAAGGGGATGATCATGGCCCTCAGGGGATGGGGCAAAGGGTTTCCTCCCCAGGATCAGCCCTGCAGCATTCTGGGTAAGTGCGTGTGTGCACACCACAGCTGCCTCATTGGTTCCTGAGCTCTTTTGAGGATGAGGCCGCCATAAGTGTGTCAGGTTGAGACAGCCCTGGACCTGCCTCTTCCCTGCTCCCACCTTCAGCCCAGGGACCACATGGTGGGACCTTCTGAACCCGATTCATCAACTCCCCGAAGAACCTGCCCCGGAATGCTTCCAGTAATCTCCTCCCGCCCTGGGGAAGCCGGTGCCCTTCCTCTGACAGCGGAGCTGGACTGAGGGGAACAGAGGGACATCGGGACAGAAGCAGAGGTGCAGACTATCCCTCATCTCCAGTCTCCTTTACCCTGGCAGTGATGCCCATGAGAAAGGTGGGCTGTGCTGAGCTTTGGGGGCCTTGCTGCTTAGCCCTGGCTCCTGGCTGGCCCCTTGGTGGCCCTGCCAGCAAGCAGACCCTGAGCTGTCCCCTCCTGCAGATCAACGGAGTGTCCTCCCTTCCCCCCAGCTGGGAAACCATGTGTGCAGCCCTTCCGGAGTCCCTGGACAAGACAGAGGGAGAAGAAGCAGTTTGTCTTCCCTTGGTTGTGCTTTCACTTCTATTTTTTTTAAATATATATTTTTTATTGATTTCAGAGAGGAAGAGAGAGGGAGAAAGAGAGAAACATCAATGATGAGAGAGCATCATTCATTGATCGGCTGCCTCCTGCACGCCTCACACTGGGGATCAAACCCGAAACCCAGGCACGTGCCCCGGACCGGGAATCGAACCGTGAGCTCCTGGTTCATAGGTCGACACTCAACCACTGAGCCACACCAACCGGGCTTCCTTTCACTTCTAAGTTATTCTTTTACGGTCCTGGCCCGGTAGCTCAGCTGGTTAGAGTGTCGTCCTGAGATGCCAAGAATGAGGGTTCAATCGACCAATGAATGCATGAATAAGTGGAGCAACAAATGGGTGTTTCTCTCTCCCCCTTCCTCTCTCTTTGAAATCAATAAATAAGAATAAAGTAAAATATTCTTTAATTTTTTTTTTTTCTATTTTAATGCGGGGCTGAACATAAGACAGAAAAATAACATCCTGGTCACTTTTTTTTTTTTTTTTTTTTTTTAAGAGGCAAAGCTTTCTTTGAGACGGTCATACATAGCCATGGATGGGTAATGTTCGCCTCTTAAATTGCTGAATCCACACAGAACGGCACTTCTCCAAACACCTGTTGTCGTGGTTACTGACAACGCCAGACCAGCCTGTCACACTCCGGGGGCTGCTTGTCCTGTTTCCTTTCGGGAACCTCTGAGCTCAGACGGAAGCCCTGCGGCTCCGAGAGGCGAGGGGGTGCGGGAGGCTGCCGTCGGTTTCACACGTGGTGCTCTTGGAGGCGAGGAGGGGTGCTAGTGAGAGGGCCCTGGGTGCCGGCTTCTCCTCTGGCAGGGCCCCTGGGCGGCCAGAGGCCACTCCCCCTCCCCCCGGACAGCCTTGCTCACTCATCATGGAGGGACATGTAATCCAGCAGGTGGGCTGGGACGAGTCCTCTGCGGCCGCCGGACTCCCCGTAGTAGAACCCCCTGTCATCCACGGGCCCGTACACCGTGACCAGGTCCCCGGCCTTCAGCGACAGCTTGCCCTTCACTTGGCCCCCCACCCACCCGTCCTTGGGGTCATAGTCCAGAGCTGCCATCATGGTCATTCGGGTGCACAGTGGAGGCTTCCTGGGGTCCCCTTGGGGCGGGGGAAAGGAGTCCTGGGGGATGGGGAGCCCTCCGATTTCATCTTGTGCTGGTAACTGCCACCTCCTGTCAGTCCTCTCCATCCCTTCCTCCACCTCAGCCACCAGATGCCCGGGGATGTTGCCCACTCGGCCGTGGCATTCCCCACGGTAGAAGCCCTGGGAGTCCTGAGGGCCCCACACTCGCAGTAGCTGCCCTTTCTGGAAGGCCAGCTCCTCCTCTGCAGCCTCGGGGCTGGCGGACATCACCAGAGGGTCATAGTCAAAGAGGGCCACAAAGACCCTGGCCGAGGCGCCCAGGCCCGCCTCCCGCAGCAGGGGGCCTCCCCCGGGCCCCGGACCGGCTTTGCTGGACGAAGCCGGACAGAGCGTGGAGCTGGGCTTGTGGAGCTGGCTCTCTCTCTCGCCCCACAGAGCCTGCCCTCGCCTGCTCTGCGTCCTCAGCTCCCTTCTCTGCTCCTGCCTCTCAGTGGTCCGTGGGCCGAAGCACAGGGCCTCCTCCTCCTGCTGCTGCTGCTGCAAAACGTCATGGAAGCCAGACGCGTGTCGTTGGCGGGTGCCTCTCTGGGGGGGTGTGAACACCTGGGCGTCTCGCTTCTGCCTCAGGACCTTGTCGAGGGCAGCCTTTTCCTGACAGGCTTCTCTCCCGGGCGCACGCTCGGGAGACAGACGGGGGACTCCCAGAGCAGGGCTTCGGCTGGTGCCCAGGTGCCAGTCACGGTCCTCTTCCCCCTGAGACTGGCCACTGTGCAGGCGTGGCCTGTGGTTCTGAGGGCTCTCCCGAGAGAGGAGGTCTTCTCTGCAGACCCCCCAGGTTTCTGCAGGCCCCGGGGTGTGGCCACCCGCCCCTGCCCTTGGACATTCTCCTTCTGAGCTCAGGCCGGGCATCGGGGGTTCTTTAGGGAATGCTTCCAGGGACTCCCCACAGCTTCTGGGGGTGTGGGAACCAGCCCTGGCACCCGGTGGAGCTGGTGCCAACCTCTGCGGGCAGACGGGGAAGGTGGTGGTGCACGGGGACCGGTCGCCACGGGGGCAAGTAAAGGGAGAGGTCTCTGACAGTCTGTTCCCGGTCCAAACGTCCTGAGGGATCTGAGCCGGCACCGAATCCGGCGACTCGCCACAGAGGGAGACGGTTCTCACCGAGACCTTCTGGCACATCCGGGGCAGCTGGAGCTGGGACAGCTCCAACAGGGTGCTGCCAGCGGTGGCGTTGGTGACCTCTGCCACCTTGAGCCCATCGGCATACACGGCGTAGCCGGTGACCCGGACCCCGTTGGAGAAGCCGGCCAGGTCGATGGTCACTGGGAGCCAGCTGACCACCAGGAGGCCCGGCACTGTGTGGCGCTCCACCAGCACGTCCAGCGGAGGGTCCGGGGGCCCCGCCAAGGGCGTGTCGAAGGTGAGCGCGGAGGACAGGGTTTCCCAGCGCCCCTGCATGGAGTCCCACGGCAGCTGCACCTCCACCTGCACCCGGTACCGCGTGCTGGGCTGCAGGCTGCGGAAGGCGTAGCTGCTCACGCCGGCTGGGGTCAGGGCGTGCTTCTGGTCATCGAGGTACACCACGTGCGGCCGGCGGGGGCTGCTGGAGACCCAGAGGATCCTAGCCGATGTGGCCGCAACATTCTGCAGGCGTAGCTGTTTGGGGGCTACGCAGGGGACCCCGTCGGGTCCTAAGAGGGATCTGGAGAACCCCTGCTCCTCCACACTCGGTGCTGGGCCCGGCCAGCCATCTTCTGTCTTGGCATCGGAGATCTCTATTGCCACTTCCATCTTGGAGGCCGCCCTCACCATCTGGCACATCTCCCCATCCGCAGCTCCCTGAGCTTCCCCGGGCAGTACCCTGTGACTAATGTCTTCCTTTGAAGCTCTGCCCTGTCCAGCTGGGAGCTGAGCGGGGCCAGGGTCAGAGGTCTCGGGGGGCAGGCAGCCAAGGACGTCGTTGTCGGGAATCTGCACCACCAGGTTGGAGGGCACCAGGCCCCGCCGGCCGTCCTCCAGCTCCCCTTCGTAGAAGCCGTCCTCGTCCATCTCGCCAAAGATGTAGACGTAGTCGCCCGCCGTGAGGGGCAGCTCGCTCTCCGGGTGCTCGTTGGGCCCCTCAAATGGGTTGTAGCTGTATCGAACCAGGAAGATCTTGAGCTTGGGGGCGGCGGCAGCGGCGGCGGCGGCGGCGGCGGCGGCGGCGGCGGCGGCGGCGGCGGAGGGGGCCTCCGAGTCTCCCGCTTCCAGGGTCAAGGACACGCTGTCGGGATCCAGGTCCTCCACCTCACTGGCTGTGTCCATGTCCAGAGTAAGGCAAGACGGCACGGTGGCCCACAGGGATTCCACCTCGGAGGAGGAGTTGGACTGGGAGCTGGTTTTCTTGGCCTGGGGTCTGCTGTCCAGAGGCTGGCTGGCTGGGATTCTGCCTGGTGCTTGAGGGGGGGCACGGGCTGGCTCCCTGAGGGCAACTGAGCTCTCCGGCAGAGAGGCGTCCCCCTCCTGTTTGTCTCGGCTGGACCGTGGAGATGCCCGGTCTTCGGGTCCTGGCTGGAACCTGGCCCTTCTGCTCTTCCTGCCTTGGAAATCCGGGGCTTGGGAGGTCTCCGGGGGCTCCTGGGGATGAGGACCAGGCTGGCTCTGCAGCACCCGCACTTCCTCCCGGGCAGCCTCGAGATCGCGCAGTGCCTTCTGCAGGTCACGCTGCAGCTGCTGCTGCTCGTCCCGCTCGCGCGCCGCCTGCTGCAGCAGCTGCTCCACCAGCAAGCCCGTGGCGTCGCGCTCCCGGCACGCGCGGCCCAGCTGCTCGCGCACGTCGTCATTCTCGGCCGCCAGCTTCCGCGTCCAGCCGGCGGCTTGTGCCGGCAGCAGCCGCGCCTTCTCCTCGGCCAGCCAGGCGCCCTCGCCAAGCGCGGTCTGCAGCTGTGCCTCCGCCTCCGAGCCGCGCCGCCGCCGCGCCGCCGCCGCCGGGGCCCCCAGCTCCTGGCACTCCCGCCTCCGCGGGGACACCTCGCGCTCCAGCGCCTGCACCTGGCACCGCGCCTCCTCGCATCTGAGATCTCTACTGCGGCTCGGGGCTCCGTGGCGCAATGGATAGCGCATTGGACTTCTATTGCGGCTCGGCTCCGCCCGGGCGCCGCGGGTGGCCGCCTTCTGCAGCGTCAGCTGCCTCTGCAGGCGCAGCACCTCGCGCTGGGACTCCCGCTGCAGCCGGTCCAGGTCGCTGACTTTGAGCCACTGCGCGCTGGCCGCGCCCCCATGAGGGTGCGGGGCGCTGCCGAGGCCCGAGGCGACGTGCGTCTGCAGCAAGTGGCACTCGTGCTGCAGCTCTTCGATCTGCTTGTCCTTGGCCAGCAGCGCGCTCGCCTGCTCCGACAGGTCCTGGGCGCGCTGGCGGGCGAAGGCCTGGCACAGCTCCAGGCCGGCGGCGGCGGCGGCGCGGCTCTCCCCGGGCACCGGCGCGCTCAGGGCCCGCAGGTTGGTCTCCTGCAGCTTGCGGGCCCGGTCCTCCAGGCGGCGAGCCAGGCCTGTGAGCTCCGCGTGCTTCACCTTGAGCCGCTTCGCCTTGTCCGCCTCCTGGTCGGGGAAGCGCGCGCGCCGCCGCAGCTGCAGGTTCTCTTGCTGCAGGTCCGAGCAGCGGCGCGCCAGTCTCTGCAGCGCCTCCGACAGCTCCGAGTTCTGCTTCCCAAGCTCTTGGTCCTCCAGGCTCAGGGGCGGCAAGAGGGCCAGGGCATCGCAGGGCTGGCTCCCGGAGTCTTCTCCTGTCCGGTGGCCAGGACCCCTGGGCCGCGATGGTGGTGGCGGTGGTGGCGGTGGTGGCAGCGGCGGCGGCGACGGCGATGGCGGCGGGGGACTCAGGAAGCCCAGGATGAACGTGTCCGCCGAGGAAGCCCGCTCCTCGGACTCGGGGGCCCTGAGGGGACGACGACTCAGAATGCTGTCGAGCGAGTGGGAGCGCGCTGGTGCCAGGGTAGCGAGGGAGCCGGAGCGCGTGGGGAGCAGGCTGTCGAGGGAGTTGGAGCACGCTGCGGGCACCCCTTCGAGGGAGCGGGAGCTCAGGCCATCAAGGGATTCGAGTCGAACTTGGGGGGACTTTGGAGGGCGGTGAGAGTCGCTGGCGACCTCGGGGTGCGGGTCTTCCGAAGAATGCACAGCCGCCTGGGGATCTGCGGCGCCGGGCAAAACCGGGAGCCAGCGGGAGTGCTCCAGGGCGTACTTGAGAAAGAGCTGCCGCTCCAGGTCGAGCGCCGCCTGCAGGTGGCGGATGCGCGCGGCCTGCTCGCCGTCGGTCTCCCAGCGGAGCTGCGCCAGCACGTCCTGCAGGCGGCAGCGGCACTGCGCGGCGGCGGCGGCGGTGGCGGCGGCCTTGGGCGCCCCCGCGCGGCCGCCGTAGCCGCGGTTCACCAGCTCGGCGGCCAGCTGGCGCTGCAGCTCCCGCGCCTGGCGGACGACGCCGTCGCGCTCGCGGTGCAGCAGCTGCTGCAACTGCCGCATCTCGGCCTCCTTCCAGCGCAGCAGCTGCCGGATCTCGGCCTCGCGCTCCCGCAGCACCTTCTCCTGCAGCTGCCGCAGCTCCCGGCAGCGCTGGGCCTCCCACTGGGAGCGCAGATGGTCCACCAGCTGCCGCCGCCCCTGCTCCTCCGCCTCCCGCAGCTGGCGCGCCTCGGCCGCCCAGCGCCGCCGCTCCGCCCTCCCGCGCGCCCGCTCCTCCTCCAGCTCCGCCCGTAGCTTCTCCAGCTCCCGCTTCTGCTCCTCCAGCACTGATGCTGATGCCGAGGCCGTCGGGCCCGGACTGGCCAGCTTCTTGGGTGTCGCGCGGCTGCCACCGGAAGGGTTGGGCGAGTCCTTGGTCATGGTGGCTGCTGTCCGGCCAGGTGCTTGGCGTCCCCTGGCCCAGGCCTCCGGTGGCCAACGGCTGCCGTCCCGGCCGGCCAACCGCCCCGCGCGCCCCTTCCGGCGTCCCCCGGGGGTCTCCGCGCGCCCCTTCCGCCTCTGGGCGAGTTCTCTGAGCCCCTGCCATGCGTGCACAAGCCCTCGCTCCTCTCGCAGCTGCCTAGGCCGGGGATGGACTCTCGCCGCTCCTGCTCAACCCACCCCGTGTCCTTCTCAGGGTGCCCCGGGGGTCTCTCTGGCTCCAGGCTTTCCCAGTCCTTGGCTCCCTGTCCCTTACGACTGACCCGGACACTCTCCCAGGCACTGTTCCATCCCTTTCAGGCCAGCGGGCTGGGGGGAAGTCAGGCTGCTGTGCTGGGCCTAGTGAAAACCGCTCCGTGTGTGGGTCAAAATGGATTTAGGTGGCTGAAAACCTGCAACAGGATATGCTCAAACTTGGGGGTGGGCCCTGGGCCCCCAACTAGGGGAGGGTGCATCTGGTGTCTGCACCCTGACTGTGCCTATCCTTTCAAGGCCTCCTGTGGTGCTAAGCACTTGCATACATTTTCTATTTAAACCTACTATGCTTACAGATGGGAACTTTTTCTTAAACTCCTTTATTACAAAATCTTTCTTTTTTTTAATCCTCACCTGAGTATATTTTTTTCCCATTGACTTCTAGAGAAAGTGGAAGGGAGGGAGGAGAGTGGAGAGAGAGAGAAACATCCTTGTGGTGAGAGAGAGATGCTTGGATTGGTTGCCTCCTGCAGGCAATCCCTACCAGGGCTGGGAGCCTGCAGCCAAGGTACATGCCTTTGACCAGAATCAAACATGCAACCCTTCGGTCCAAAGGCTGATGTTCTTTTTTTTTTTTTTTTTTTAATCAATCTTTATTGTTCATATTATTACAAAGGTTCCTCATTTCTTCCCCCCTCCACCAGGTTCCCACCCTACCCTCTGCCCCCTCCCCATCCCCCATTGTCCTCATCCATAGATGCAGTTTATGTTCAGTCTCTTCTTCCCTCAATTTCCCCAATAGTAAATCCCTTTTCAGATAGTAAATCAGTTACTTAGCATTTTCTCATATCAATAATACCTCCACATGCCCAATGATACACTTCACACAAAAGACATTTCCCACTAGGTCAACCAGCCTCATCGAGGCCCCACCCAAGGCACTCACAGATCAACACCCCAGTCCTAAACTAACTCAACACATCCAGATCTAAGCCGTCATCACTTGATTCAGCAGACCCTCAAGTTCCCACGAAAGTTTCCAGCCATGTCTGAGAAGCAGCCGTGGGGCAGGGGCAGGCAAGGAGCGAGCTGTTCTGGGCCTGGTTGCTCAGGGCCTGGCCTCTGTTCAAAGGCTGATGTTCTGACCATGGAGCAAGCGGCCAAGGCAGGTTAGGGTGGTTTTTTGGTTTTGTTTTTGTTTTGTTTTTTAATATATTTTATTGATTTTTTTTTACAGAGAGGAAGGGAGAGAGACAGAGAGCTAGAAACATCAATGAGAGAGAAACATCGACCAGCTGCCTCCTGCACACCCACCACCGGGAATGTGCCCGCAACCAATGTACATGCCCTTGACCGGAATTGAACCCGGGACCTTTCAGTCCGCAGGCTGATGCTCTATCCACTCAGTCAAACCGGTTTTGGCGGTTTTTGTTTTTTAAAAATTTTTTTTTTTTTTTATTGATTTCAGAGAGAAGGGAATGGGGGAGAGAGAGATAGAAACATCAGTAATGAGAGAGAAACATCAAATGGCTTCCTCCTGCATGCCCCCTATTAGGGATTGAGCTCTTGGTTCATAGGTCAACACTCAACCACTGAGCCCTGGGCACAGAAAAAGGTTTTAAGTTTCCTAACCTCTCCAGCTACTAGTAGCCCCAGCATTCTACTCCACTTCCTTTATTTTTGGGTTAATATTTTTTTGTCTTTTTTTTTTTTTTTTTTTTTTTTTTTGTCTGTTCTCTGAGGTGGCCTCAGCATCTGGAACAGTGCCCTGCACATGGTAATGCTCAATAAATATATGACAAGCCAAAACCGGTTTGGCTCAGTGGATAGAACGTCAGCCTGCAGACTGAAAGGTCCCAGGTTTGATTCTGGTCAAGGGCATGTACCTTGGTTGCAGGCACATCCCCAGTGTGGAATGTGCAGGAGGCAGCTGATTGATGTTTCTCTCTCATCGATGTTTCTAATTCTCTATCCCTCTCCCTTTCTCTCTGTAAAATAATCAATAAAATGTATTTTTTTTTTTTAAATACATGACCAGCCCTAGCTGGTTTATAAATACATGACCAGTTCTAGCTAGAGCGTCAAGGACACATGACCAGTGGCTAGAGCGTCAAGGACACATACCCAGGTTGTGGCATTTATCCTCAGTACAGTGCATGCAGGAGGCAGCCAACCAATGATTCTCTCATCATTGATGTTCTACTCTTTCTCCCTCTTCCTTCCTCTGTGAAATCAATACAAATGTATTTTAAATAAATACATGACCAAAACAAGACAGAGGTGAACAGGCTAGACGTGATCTCTGTCCTCATGGGGTTTACAGTCTAAGGGAGGACACAGAGGTTAAACACAAATATGGCAAAGGGCTGTGGTGCAGTCGGAGCTTGGGCAAGTGCTGTGGGTGAGGGGTATTCGATTCCGGTCAAGGGCATGTACCTTGGTTGCAGGCACATCCCCAGTAAGGAGTTTGCAGGAGGCAGCTGATCGATGTTTCTCTTTCATGGATGTTTCTAACTCTCTATCCCTCTCCCTTCCTCTCTGTAAAAAAAATAGATAAAATATATATTTCTTCTTCTAATGGGGAGAAGAAGCCCATCAGAGCAGGCACTGAGGTAGGAGCGTGTGTGAGGTTTGCCTAGAGCTGAGATTTCAGGCAGAGGGCCTCTGGCTGCCAGCACTGGCCCTCTCCCCTGCCCACCCCGCCCAGGGCAGGCCCGCCCTCCTCTGGCCTTGACTCTTCACAGTTCTGCCACAGTTCTCGTTTGCCTACGGAGAAACTGGAGCTTGAAGAGGAAGGGGTCCCTTAGCAGGATCCCAATCAGGCCTTAACACCCGAGGTTATGGGGAGGACTGGCACTCCCAGCATGCCCCTTCCTGGATGGGGCTGGATGTGGAGAAGGACCTTGCTGCTCTCTGCCCCCACTTCGTGGGCCCTGCAGCCTGCTCTAGACCAGCTGTGTCCTCTGGTGCTGGGGATGTGCCAGCTTCCAGCTCTCTGGCTGAGGCCCCTGGCCTGCTGGGCTGGCCTCTGGCCCTGGCATCCCTGGCCTAGCTCCTCAGGCATGTGCCTCTGTGGGTAGCCAGCCTGCCCCCTCCTGTACTTTCTGTGCCTTGTCCCCGTGTCCTCACTACAGCCAGGGAGGCTGGCACTGTCCTCTGCAGACAAAGAAACTGCCCAGGGTCACACAAGGTCTCGTGCCCAGGCCCGCGTGACCTAAGTCTGGGGTCTGTGCTGGTGCCACCTAGCCTGGCCCACTGGCTCTGGCAGCTGGAGGGTAATGGTAAGCCCCAAGCCCTCGGACAAATGGCTGCTACTTCCCGAGGACCCTGATGCTGTTGGGAGCATCACAGTTTTCCAGCGACCCAGGGCTGCCAGGACAGACCTAGCTGCCGTCTCTGCCATATCCACTTCTCTCCCCCTGGAGAGGCTGCCGGGCCTATTCCAAACACCACCTTTCTCTGCCGCCTGAAGCATGAGGCCTTGCCTACCTCCCACTAACATCAGTGGCAATATCTATTGCTTGTCCACTCATTTACTCCATTATATTTTTTAAAAATATTTTATTGATTTTTTACAGAGAGGAAGAGAGAGGGATAGAGAGTTAGAAACATCGATGAGAGAGAATCATCGATCAGCTGCCTTTTGCACACCCCCTACTGGGGATGTGCCCACAACCAAGGCACATGCCCTTGACTGGAATTGAACCTGGGACCTTTCAGTCCGCAGGCTGATGCTTTATCCACTGAGCCAAACTGGTTTCGGCTACTCCATTATTTTTTAAAATATTTTTTATTGATTTCAGAGAAGAAGGGAGAAGGGGAGAGAAACATCAATGATGAGAATCATTGATCCTGGGAATCAAACCATGGCATCCTGGTTCCTAGGTTGACGCTCAACCACTGAGCCACACCGGTCAGACTGTCCCGTCATTTAGCTGCTGCTATGGGTCAGGGGGGCAGTCCTTTATCAACTGTTTGTTGAGTGCCCAACCTGGCCCAGGTGGGGTAGGGCCAGGCATGGAGTTAATTTCTTCATTCATCGAACACAGAGAACCTCCAATGCGGTTTGCTGAAGGAAGGAAGGAATGAGGGAGCAAGGAAGATAGATCAGAAGGAGGGAGAATGGGAGGGAGAGAGGGAGAGAGGGAAGGAGGGAAGGAGAGGGGAGAGTAGGAGGGAAGGAGGGAGCCCTTAGGTCAGCTGAGTCTCCCAAATCTTGGTTTACCATCCCTAGGCCAAGTACAGTCTCTGGCTGCAGTGTCTGGCTGGCTGGGTGACTGAGGAAAAGTTGACTGGTCCCTTGAGCCTCAGTTTCTTCCTCTGTAAACGGGACTGATGGCGTTCTGAATTCAGAGGGCGGTCAGGGTAGTTGAAGCTTGTGTGTTTGCACTCAGCCCAGCACACAGCAAGCTGTCAAGTTTCCCCATCGAGCGTGGTAAGGAGAGTCCTTAGGAATGACTAGCACTAGTCGAAACCAGTTTGGCTCAGTGGATAGAGCGTCGACCTGCGGATTGAAAGGTCCCAGGTTCAATTCTGGTCAAGGGCATGTACCTTGGTTGCGGGCACATCCCCAGTAGTGCAGGAGGCAGCTGGTCAATGTTTCTCTCTCATCAATGTTTCTAGCTCTCTATCCTTCTCTCTTCCTCTCTGTAAAAAAACCCTATATATATATATATATATATATATATATATATATATATATATGTAATTTTTTTTTTTTAAGAAAAAGAATGACTAGCACTTGA